AAAAAGTAAAGATTTGCCTATTATTATTATGAACAAAACAGAAAATGACAGCCGTACACATATGACCTGTCCAGACCCTGAGTGTTGGTCAGTACTGTGGCCCATATTGTCCGAGGACCGTCTCGGACACCTGCACCTCCCAGCCCTCACAGTCACACCACCAAACACCGTAGAGTTTCCCATACAACACACGCATCTTCTCTGTTTACATCTCTCCTACACACAATATTTGTTGAGCCTTCCTCCCTCCCTCCCTCTCTCTCCCTCCCTCCTTCTCCCTCCTTCTACCTCCCTGCCCCCACCACTCCCCACCTCCTCCCTCCCCCCACCACAGATGCCAACCTCCTCCCTGCCCCCACCACTGCTGCCCACCTCCTCCCTGCCCCCACCACTGCTGCCCACCTCCTCCCTGCCCCCACCACAGATGCCCACCTCCTCTCCTGCCCCCACCACAGATGCCCACCTCCTCCCTGCCAGGGTTCAGCGGCCCCCAGGAGAGCGTCGGCCCCAGCCCGCCTCACCAGGGGCCCGGCGGGAGTCACACACAAACATAACCTGCACATTTTCCGCTCTAAAACTGGATATGTTCCCGGCGCTCTTATAGCTGCCTCTCACTCACTCTCACTCTGGTCTCTTAGTTGCTTCTCACTCACTCTCACTCTGGCCTCTTAGTTGCTTCTCACTCACTCTCACTCTGGCCTCTTAGCTGCCGCTCTCACTCACTCTCACTCTAGCCTATTAGCTGCCTCTCACTCACTCTCACTCTGGCCTCTTAGCTGCCGCTCACTCACTCTCACTCTGGCCTCTTACACTAAACAATATCAATAAAGTATAATAAAGTCAAGCAAACATTAACAAAACATCATTGAAAAAATATATAAAAATAAAACAATTTTTGCTTCCAATATTCAGGATTATCAATTGACGGTCAACGTGACTACCTGTCCACCTCTGGGATGGATCCCCGTGACACAGTGGTAAAACACTCGCCCGGCGCTTTGGCCTGGGTTCGTATCCTGACCGGGGAGGATTGACTGGGCGCCAATCCTTAACTGTAGCCTCTGTTTACCCAACAGTAAAATGGGAACCTGATTGTTAAACGATTTGGCGGGTCGTATTCCAGAGAACATAGGATTAAAGCCTTGCCCAAAATGCTACTCGTACTAGTGGCTGTACAAGAATGTAACAACTCCTATATATATATATATATATATATATATATATATATATATACAACTTTAGAACACTTTCCCACCATATTAACAGGGACTTGATGAAATTAACGTCTAAATGACCCCTCACTTGCTCTAGTGCTCTTGGGAGGTGTTGATCTTTGGTGTATTTAAATACTCCGAAATTACCATCTCTTTTAAGGGTCTGAGCGGGTGGTGGAGCGGGTTAAGGCGTA